CGAAGCGGCCCCCCGGGCCTCGCAGGACGCGGCGCGCTCCCGAAACGACCCCAGAGCCCCAATACGGTCGACGACGACCCCCAAGAAGCCGTCATACAGCCAAAGATCGTCCCGAAACGTCCCAAGAGGCCTCCAAGGGTACTCCCAAGAAGGCCCCAAGAGACAAACATCATTGATGTTGTTGGTTTCTGATTTATTTAGGGGTTCTCCCCTTTTCGGCTTCCCGACGCTCCAAGATGGCGGTCTTTGGTCGTCCGAAGCCGCCTGGGAGGCTCCAAAATCGCCCCATAACCATCCGAAAGGGCTTCCAGGCAGTCCAAGAGAGCCCCAAAACAGCACAACAGGGGTCTACGATGGCCCTCAGAGAGCCCCATGGCGGCCCAAGAATGGCCCCAAGACACCCTCCGAAGCATTCCAAATCGTGACCCGGTCGTTCAGGGAGACCGCGGTTGGAGGCAGGGTGGCCCGAGGAAGCCCCAAGAGGCCCCCAGAACACGCCCAGGAGGCCTCCAGAATGCCTCAAGAAAGCCTGAAACAATTTTTGTGAGGCCCCCAGATGCTCTCCAAGGAGGAGCCTCCGCAAAAAGAGCTGAGGAGGATGGGGAGAATGCGCAGGGCATGGCGAAAATGAGAAAAAAGAAGCATGGAGGAAGGATAACGAAAAACATTATTATAGCGGCGATGCCAGAAAAGGAGTGATCGCTAAGTTGTCGGCGTCACCTTCCTGCTAGTCCGCCTGCATACCAAACTTCAAGGACCAAGGTGCATGGCGCGAAGAGCCACTGCAATCTTGCATATACATATGTATATACTCTAGTTCGTTTCGTTGTACGGCAGAATGTCAAATCATGGTATCTCATATATTGTTTCAGTATATGATGTTTTTGTTGCGATATTCGTTTTTATTCATTATTCGTACTTTCACGTTCCTGTCATCATGCAATATTATTATTGCTACATGCTGTTATTATTACAAGTGATATTTTTTGTGCGACTGCTGCTGCGATTATTATTGAGCCCGCAGAGCGGGAGTCACGGCGTGCTCCCAGGGGGTAGCTTGCCCGCAGATTTTGCAATCAATGGGGGTTGAGGATGCTGCCTCGACGAGGGTCGGTACCAATCGTTGCAATGTTTCTTGGGGCCATGTTGGCGTCCCGTGGGGGGTCGGACGGCCTTTAAGGTTCCATGGGGGACGAACTGCGTGAGGGGTGCCCCGAATCTAAGCCCCCCTGAGCCGTCTGAGGGGTCAGTTGAGAGCGTGAGGGGTGTGCCGAATTGAGGCCTTCGCGGTCCTCGGAGCGCAGATCACTCGTTCTCGAGGACGGGTGTCCCGAGCCGGAACGGTAGTTTTTTTGAGAGTCAGAGTCCCCTCCCGAAGCAGATGCGTCAAGGATGTCCCGAGCACGTTTCAGTCGTATGTTTGCGTGTCCCAAAAGAGAACGGGCCGTCGGAGTGCGCGAGGCCGCTTCGCAGCCCCGTCGCAGCCCTAGGGGGCGCAGGTCACTCGCGTTCCTGCGTGTCCGAGCTGCCACGCGCGTGGGGCCTCGCGCTGGGAGCACGGTCTCACTTGTATCTGTGCGTGTCCCGGGGAGGCGGAGGAGGAGGAGGAGGAGGAGGAGGAGGAGGAGGAGGAGGAGGGGGAGGAGGAGGAGGAGGAGGAGGAGGAGGAGAGGAGGAGGAGGAGGAGGAGGAGGAGGAAGAGGAGGAGGAGGACAGTTCTACGGAGTCGGCCAGCATGGGCCAGCAGGGTGGGCGAAGTCTTTCTTAGCACGCCTCGAGCATGGTTCTCCCTCGCCTGCATCACATCTCCATCTCATCATCTGTCCTCGAGGCCTGACACGTCGAGGGCCCGCAGGGGGCCCCCTTGGTTTCCATCGTTTCGCTCACTCCGCCGGCCCATCTTGTATGTGATGGCATTCGGCCGTTTAGGGTCGTGGACAAGGCCTCGTTGGGAGGCTTGTTGGGGTCTCTCTTGGGAGGCCTCTCGGAGGCCTCCTGGCTGCATCTCGGAGCCTCTTGGGGGCCTCGTGGGGCCTCTCGGGGGGGTCTGTCGGGCCTCTGGGGGCCTCTTGGGGGCCCCTTGGGGGCTTGCTGGTGGTCTCGGGGCCTTGCGATATTTGGGGCCTCCTGGGCCGTCTTGGGGGGTCAGAAGCACGAAAAAGGCGATGACGCCGACATCCTTCAACCACTATCGGAGAGCATATGTTTTGTCCCTCGGGGCCTGTTTGGGGGTTCTTTTGAGGCTCTCTTGAGCCTTTTCGGAGGCGTCTCGGGCTATCCACATTATCTAGAGCGTCTTCGAGCGCTCTTGGGCCGTCTCGGACCATCTTGAACTCTCTTGGAGGCGCCTTGGAGCAGGAGGGGGATGGGGGGGAGGAGGACGAGGAGCAGGCGGGGGATGGAGGAGGACCAGGAGAGAGGAGGGAGGGAGGAGGAGGAGGGAGGAGGATGAGGAGGAAGGAGGAGGAGGAGGAGGAGGAGGAGGAGGAGGAGAGGAGGAGGAGGAGGAGGAGGGCGCTCTGGGGGGCCTGGAAGGCCGCACCCAGGAGCAAAACCATTGCTTGCCCGGGATCGGCCAGGGCACTTCTCGACCTGGGACCGGCAGGGTCGGCCTCGCGCGCGCGAGCCAGACATATCTGAAGTCTGGTGCCGGATATCTCAGCACGCCTTTGGCCCGTTTGGCCAGAGAAACATCGCTTCTTTCATCGCTTCGCTCAGTCCGCCGGCCCTGGAGCCCTCTTTAGGGCCTCTCGGGGGCCTCTTGGGGACCTCTTGGGAGTCTCTTGGGGCTTCTTGGCGGCGTCTTGGGGGCCCCCTGGGCCTCTTGGGGGCCTCTTGGGGCGGGAGGGGGGTAGTCGATTGCGGCTCCCCCCTCGGAGGCCACGATCCTCGTGAGGGGTGTCGAAACATGGCCCTCCCCTGGAGTGCTCTGGGGGCTTCTCCCGGGACCTTGCCAGGGTACTTTTCGTCCGGGGGCTCCCAGGGGCCGCTCCGCGCGCGAATATTATTAACCAGTTACCGGAGATCGTAGCACGCCTCTGGCCCTTTGGGCCGGCGAATTTCATCATCCATGTTACGAGTAGTCGCATCATTATTGTTCTCGTTCTTACCATGATAGTTATGGGTATCAATTTCATCATGGTTATTAGTATGCATCGTCTTATGCTGCTGATGGCGGTGATGATTAGTATTATCCGCCACCGTGCCTGGGTTGTGGGTCAGAGTTCTCAGGGATGCTTCTTGAGGTCTCTTCGGAGCGCTTTCGGGGGCCTCTTGAGAGCAGTTTTAGGGCCTCTTGGGAGCCTCTTCGGGCTTTCTTGGGGGCCTCTTCGGGCTTCCTTGGGGGCCTCTTGGGGCCCCCATCGGGGCCGAGGGCTCGAAATGTCCATTCGGGTTCCCCATCTGTGCCCTCGTCTTCGGGGCCTCTGGCGCCGTCTTGGGCGCCTCTTGGGCCGTCTTGGGCCCCTCTTGGGCCATTTCGGGGCCCTTCTGGAGGCCTCTGGGGCCATCTTGGGGCGATCTTGGTGGCTTCTTGGGGTCGACGCTGTGAAAGCCGAAGAGGCGAATATGCAGAACGAGCACGTTTTCCGACGGGAATGTGGCGATGTTGGTTCTTGGGGCGCTCTGTGGGTCTCCTCGTGGCAGTCTTTTAGGACGTCTCGCGGACCTCTTGGGCCGTCTTGGGGCTATCTTGGGCGGCTCGGATGCTTCTTGTCGGGGAAACGTAAGACTCGAGTAAGCCAGAACCCGGGTTTTCCGACGTTTTTTTGACGAGCGCGTCCTGAATTAGACGGTCCAGTTGTCTTGGGATGTTTGCAGCGGGAGCCCGCGTCAAATTTCAGGTTGGGCCTCGTCAGTTTCATGATGGCCCCGTCGGGCCAACCCGAGTCCCCCGTATCACGAGTCTTACGTCTCCCTGATCCTGGGGGCTTCTCGGGGCCCTTCGCCCGTTTGGAGGCCCTGCTGGGCGGGGTCACCGTCCCAGGGGCCCGCGCGACGCACCCCGGGAGCGCGCAGTAGCGCCCGGCGCAGCGCCTGGGAAATTGGGGGTCCGGCCCTTACGAACCTGAGAACCCCCCTTCAAGCAGTGGCGAAGCGTCTGGGCTCACCTATGGGCCTACCAAACAATGTTCGAATCATCTTTCGTGGTTTCCACGACATGTTCTTAGAACATTTCTGGCTGGGACTGCCGTGTTTTAGGACATCGGGTCTATGTTCTCAGAGCATTATTTTCCTAAGGACATGTCGTGGTAGGCGTATAGGAGAGCCAGGACGGTCGGTGCCTGCCTCTCGGGGCCGAATGAGCCCTGGAGCGCTCCGCTACGTGCTGAAGGCACGGTGGCGGATTCTTGGTTATGCGACTCGTACGGCTGACGCTCCTGCTTCTGCTTCCCTCTCCTGCGGGGTCTCCGCTGCACTTTTCTTCACCTTGCTGTCAGCATGCGTCGGAGAGGTCCGAAGCTTTCCCGATGGCCATCGGGAAGGGTCCCAACGCAATTCCTCCTCATCATGAACACTTTCACATGCGGGCGTCAATTGTCAGCCGTCCAGAGTCGTTCTCCTCCTCCTCCTCCTCCTCCTCCTCCTCCTCCTCCTCTTCGTCTTCCTCTTCCTCCTACACCCTCCTTCCCTATCCCCCTCCTCGTCGTCTCCCTCCTACCCTTCCCTCCTCCTCCCCCCTTCCTTGTTCCGTCCGCCTCTTCCTCATCCCCTCCGTTCCCCCTCCCCCTCCCCCTCCCCCCTCCTCCTCCCCCTCCCCTCCTCCTCCTCCTCCTCCTCCTCCCCTCCTCCTCCATTCCTATCATTCTCCCTTCTCCCCTTCCTCTTCCCCCTCCTCCCCCTCCCCCCCCCTCCTCCCCGTCGCTCTCCCCCTCCAACTCTCCTCCCCCTCTTCCCCGTCGTCCTCCCTGGCCCTGGAACCCCTCCTCCCCCCGCCGAGACGCCGAGGCGCCGCCGCCGCCCGCCCGCCGCTGCCGAGCGCGCCCTTCCCCCCCTCGGAGGTGTCGCTGTTCGCGCAGGGGGTGTGCCACTACCTCGGCGTGCGCGCCGAGGCGCCCGCGGGCAGCCAGCGCGCGCGGGGGGCAGCGCGAGCGGCGGGCGGGGGGAGGGGGCGGCTCGGGGCGGAGCCGCGCGGCGTGCGGGGGCGGGGAGGGTCGGGCCGGAGCCGCGCGTGCGGGGGCGAGCGGGCGTGTCGGGGGCCCCCATGCGGCTCGGCGACGACATTGCGTGTCACGTGTGGGTGCGCCTGGTCTATCCACGCACTGAGCCCCGCCGCCGCCGGGCACGCTGAAGCAGCAGCCGCCGCGGGCTCGCTGGCGGGGCTGGCCGCGCCGCCCGCTCGGGGAGCGATGCGTCCCCCTGATCCGCTCGCTCCGTCCGCCCCTCTGTCTTCCGCGCCCTCCCCCGCTCCTCCTCCTGCGTGGTGGCAGGATTCGCTCCAAGGGCATCCAGGTTTAGGCATCCCGTCGCCAGCGCAGACGTCCCTCGCCTAGCCGCCGACGCCAAAAATGTGCACGCGCCGGGGTGCGGTTTGCGATGGGCGGCGTTGGGCCTTCTGGGGGTCACCACGTACACGCCCGTCGTTGAACGTAGGTGTTTTTGGATCCCCAGATCCCAACCTACTTTTGGCGCCCTCCGACTTCAAGGGTCCACTGGTTTCCTTCTCCCCTCCTCTTCAGGGGGCGGGCGGAAGCCCAATCCACTTCAGCGCCTTGTTGCTTCATGATTCTACCCACTTGTTCCGACCAGTGTGTACACCTTAGGTGATGCTTAAGAAAACTTAAGTTTTCGGCCAGAGTCTCGATTATTCTTAACGTTTCAATGTAAATCTTAAGATTTTAATGGAAACGTTGGGTTTTTATTCAAGTTCTGAGACAATGAATTTCTTAACCCATGATTTCTTAAGCATTTCGCAGGGTGTAGAGCCAAAGGTCTGCTGAACCCTCGTCGGGGCGCGGCTGAGATCTCTGACCGGGAGATATTCGGGTCGGGCGAGAGCCGGCCGCGCGTAAGAGTGAACCTTCGCCGGAGCGACCTCGGGTGCTGGCCCACAGGGGGCCCCAAGCACTGGCTGGCCCGCTTGAGTGTCAGGAGGAAAAGAAACACACAGACACAATTAATCCTCGATTTCCCAGAAAATATGGGAAAATATGGGAAGTGGGGGGGAAGACAGAAACCCAGAAAATATGGGAAAATATGGGAAGTGGGGGGGAAGACAGAAACCCAGAAAATATGGGAAAATATGGGGGATGCTTTTATTTGTGTGTATTTATTTGTGTGTCCCAGTTCCCCTTCAGAGTGTTGCCTCCCTGCCCCCCACCCTGCTCCCCGCGGCCCCGAAAGCCATGTACCAAAGGAGGAGAAGGAGGAAGAGGACCAGTGTAAACCCAAGGGTCATCAGCGATGTTGGAATTCACCTTCCTTCCAAGCTCCCTGTTCACAGGCCCATGCAACGGTTCATTTCCACTGAGGGAACTGCCTCGTCGGGACAACCGTTTGAAGATCCTGAAGCATGCCAGAACACTGTTCTCGGGACTTCGACGCCACGTATCAACCTGATTGCTACGTTTCGACGATCCATAATCGTGCCAGACGCTTTTTCTTGGGATTCCAACACCGCGAACCAACATTGCTGTTGCACCCGCATTATCACGAATTTTTCCAAACGCCATTTCTGATACTTTGATCATGGGAATCCGGTGAATTCTTGAACATGTTGAAACTAAAGTGCGCGGCGCTAAGGCGAGATCCACATGTTGAAAACGACCCGCCCTCAATCCGTGAAACCCTTGCAAATTTTGAAATCGAATGTGCGCGGCGCTAAAGCGAGAGCCACATTTTGAAAACGACCCGCCCTCCAATTGTGAAGCTCTTGCAATTTTTGAAAACGAGTGTGCGCGGCGGTAAGGCGAGAGTCACATTTGGAAAACGACCCGCCCTCCATTTGTGAAACTGCTGCCGTTTTTAAGATTCAGAGTCAGACGTGGTGAGGAACTCAGGCGAAACGCCCGGCCCGCCCTAAAAACTGGCCTCGGGGTGCGACAGGGAGAAGTTATCTATGAGGAGAAGGAATGGAGGAGGAGGAGAAGGAGGAGGAGGAGGACGAGAAGAAGGAGGAGGATGTCACTCTTGCCTCGGGTCTCTCTTGCGTGTGGCCGAGACAGGGGGGGGATAGTCGTGGGCCCCCTAAGCGGTGCGGTGACCACGCTGTGTGGTGGGTCGGTGGGGATTCCGGGCGACCGCACGGTTTTGGGACCCCGAGTCGTTCTACGAGGATGTCTCGGGCGACGGGCGGTGACGGACCGTGCGGTGAGGTCTGTTGGGAGGTTCCAATGTCACCGCACGGTCTGTCACCGCATCTATTTGGCACCCCCGAGATTGAGAAAGTGGGGGTTATGAAATCTGCCGCGTGCAGCTGGTCTCTGCCCTGCCGTTGGGCGCTTTGCTGGATGCATTGACGCCTCTCGGCGCCGGGCGCGGGCGGCGCTGGGGAAACCAGCCACGTGAGCGGCTGCGGGTCGAAGGAGGTGGGGTGGGGGTAGATGGGGCCGCCAACCCCCCTCTACTCCTTCTCATCTTTCTCCAGGCCGACCAAAAGGGGTCTAAATAGATGGGGGCGGTGGATCGCGCCGCATTGCCGATGCATCTGCGGCTCGTTGTCGGGCCAGATGTTCTGCAGGCCGATGTCGCGGATGCATCGGCGATGCTTTGGCGATGTCCATCTACTTCGACGCTATTTTGGGCGGCCTCAAGTGCCGGGGGCAGGTGGATGATCCCCGAGGGACCCAGACCTCTTCGTGTCGTGGGCGAATCCATGACGGAAGATTTCTACGACGACCTCCTCCTCTGTCTCCTCCTCCTCCTCTTCCTTCTCCTCCTCCTCCTCCTCCTCCTCCTCCTCCTCCTCCTCCTCCTCCTCCTCCTCCTCTGCCTCCGTCCGTCCTCCTTCTCCTCCTCCGCCTCCTCCGTTATCGATGCTCTTCTCGCCTCGGTGTGCTCCTCTTGCAGCCGCGCCTCGCCGAGAGCGTTCCGGGGGTTGCCCGGCTCACCCCGAGCGGCCGCCGGAGGCCCGGCGGCCACTCGGAGGAGGCGGAGGTGCCCTGACCTCCACCTCCTCCCTCCTCCCTCCTCCAGAGGAGGAGGGAGGAGGGAGGAGGGAGGAGGGAGGAGGAGGAGGGAGGAGGCAGGAGGCAGGAGGGAGGAGGAGAGGAGGAGGGAGGAGGGAGGAGGGAGGAGGAGGAGGAGGGAGGAGGAGGAGGAGGGAGGGAGGGAGGGAGGGGGAGGGAGGGAGGGAGGGGGGGGGAGGGAGGGAGGGAGGGAGGAGGGAGGGAGGGAGGAGGAGAGGGGGGGGGGGGGAGGGAGGGAGGGAGGGAGGGAGGGAGGGAGGGAGGGAGGGAGGGAGAGGGAGGGAGGGAGGAGGAGGAGGGAGGGAGGGAGGGAGGAGGAGGGAGGAGGAGGAGGAGGAGGAGGAGGAGGATGATGAGATGATGATGATGATAAGGAGGAGGAGGAGGGAGGAGGAGGAGGAGGAGGAGGAGAGGAGGAGGAGGAGGAGGAGGGAGGAAGGAGGGAGGAGGAAGGGAAGGAGGAAGGAGGATGAGGAAGGAGGAAGGAGGAAGGAGGGAGGAGGAAGAGAGGAGGGGAAGAGGAGGAGAGGAGGATGAGGAGGAAGAGGAGGAGCAGGAGGAGGGGGGGGAGAAGGAGGGTGAAGAGGAGGAGGAGCAGGAGGAGGAAGAGGAGGAGGAGGAGAGAGAGGAGGAGGAGGAGGAGGAGAAGGAGGAGGAGGAGGGAAGGGGGCGAGAGTAGTAGTAGTAGTAGTAGTAGTAGTAGTAGTAGTAGTAGTAGTAGTAGTAGTAGTAGTAGTAGTAGTAGTAGGAGGAGGAGGAGGAGGAGGAGGATAAAGCTACAGGTTCTTTCCTAAGGCTTCCTCAACGTACAAAAAGAGGGGGGGGAGGACGAGGAGGAGGAGGAGGAGGCGGAGGAGGAGGAACAGGATGAGGATGAAGAGGAGGAGAAGGAAGAGGGGTGAGGAGGAGGAGGAGGAGGAGGAGGAGGAGGAGGAGGAGGAGGAGGAGGAGTTGGAAGAGGAGGAGGAGGAACACCTGTGTAAACCCAAGGCTCCTCAATGGTGTTGGAATGCGCCCTCCCTCCAAGCTTCTTCTTCATAGGCCCCCTACGGGGGTCCATCCACGGGGAGAGCTGCCCGTTGGGGGACAGCCGTGCGGAAATCCGGAAGCGTGCCAAAATACGACGCCACGAGTCAACCTGACTGCTGCGTTTCGACGATCCTGAATCGTGCCTGAACACCATGTCTGGGGCTTCAACACCGTGAATCAACGTGACTGCTGCGCCCTGACATGCTTGAGTCGTTGCAAAACACAATTCTCTGGTACGCTAACCATGGACACCACTGAAACTCTGGCACTTGGTCGAACGATTGTGCTTGGCGCTCAGGCGAGAGCCACATTTTGAAAAGGGTATGCCCTCAATCCGTGAAGCTCTTGCAAATGTGCAAACATAGCTCAATAACTATGCGCGGCGCTCAGGCGAGAGCCACATTTTGAAAAGGATTCACCCTCAACCCGTGAAGCTCTTGCAAACTGTTCAAACGAATGTGCGCGGCGCCCCGGCGAAAGCCATATTTTGAAAACCACCTGTCCACAATGTGTGAAGCTCTTGCAACGTGTTCAAAAAGATTGTGCGGCGCCAAGGCGAGAGCCATATTTTGGAAGCGGCCCGCCCTCCATCTGTGAATTTGTCGTCAGTGTTTATGGTTGAGGCTCATAGATGGTAAGGAAGTCTCAGGCGAAACGCCCAGCCCCGCCCTTCCGACTGGCCTCTGGGTGCGACAGGGAGGAGTTATTCTTAAGGAATGGATGAGAAGGAGGAGGAGGAGGAGGAGGAGGAGGAGGAGGAGGAGGAGGAGGAGGAGAATGAGAAAAAGAGGAGGAGGGGCAGGATGAGGGCTGGAGGAGGAGGACGCTGACTCGCGCCCCGCCGTTTGGGTGCCAGCGCTGCCTCGTGCGCGCATGCCTACCAGGAGGATGGCTGGAGGAGGAGGGGGAGGAGGCGGTGGAGGAGGCGGTGGTGGGGGAGGTGGTGGAGGAGCAGGATGTGGGAGGGAGGAGGAGGGCCATATCGGGCTCAAGGAGGAGGAGGAGGAGGACCAGGAGGAGGAGGAGGAGGAGGAGGAGGAGGAGAAGGATGAGGAGGAGGAGGAGGAGGAGGAGGAGAAGTTGGAGGAGGAGGACGAGAGTAAACCCAAGAGCCATCAACAATGTCGGACTCAACCCTCCCTCCAAGCTCCCTATAGGCCCCTACGACGGTTCATTTCCATTGAGGGGACTACCTCGTTGAAAGACAGCCGCTTGAAGATCCTGAAGCATGCCAAAACAGTGTTCTCGGGATTTCAACGCCACGTATCAACCTGACTGCTGCGTCTTGACGATCCGGAATCGTGCCAGAACGCCATCGTTGGGATTTCAACACCGCGAATCAACATAAGTGTAGCACCCGCATAATCCTGAATCCTTCCAAAGCGCAATTTTTGGTACGTTGATCATGGGAGCCGCACAAAGCTCGCACAATTGTTAAAACGAATGTGCGCGGCGCTAAGGCGAGAGCCACATTTTGAAAAAGAACCGCCCCCAATCCGTGAAGCTCTTGCAAATCTTGAAAACGAATGTGCGCGGCGCTCAGGCGAGAGCCACATTTTGAAAATGAACCGCCCTCAATCCGTGAAGCTCTTGCAAATGTTGAAAACGAATGTGAGCGGCGGTAAGGCGAGAGCCACATTTCGAAAACGACCCGCCTTCAATCTTGCAGATTTTGAAGACGAATGTGCGCGGCGCTAAGGCGAGAGCCACATTTTGAAAACGACCCGCCCTCAATCCGTGAAGCTCTTGCAAATCTTGAAAACGAATGTGCGCGGCGCTCAGGCGAGAGCCACATTGGGAAAACGACCCGCCCTCAATCCGTGAAGCTCTTGCAAATCTTTAAAACATCAAATCTGCGCGGCGCTTAGGCGAGAGCCACATTTTGAAAACGACCCGCCCTCAATCCTTGAAACTTTGGCAATTTTGGAAGCGTATGTGCGCGGCGCTAAGGCGAGAGCCACATTTTGAAAACGACCTTTCCTCAATCCGTGAAACTCTTGCAAGTTTTGATGAGGAATGTGCGCGGCGCTAAGGCGAGAGCTTCATTTTGAAAACGACCCGCCCTCCATATGTGAAAGTGCCGTCACTTTTTCCAGTTTCAATGACATAAATGGTGAGGACGTCTCAGGCGAAACGCCCGGCCCGCCCTAAAAACTGGCCTCGGGGTGCGACAGGGAAAAGTTATCTATAAGGAACCGGAATGGAGGACCAGAAAGAGGAGGAGTTTGATCAGAGGAAAGAGGAGGAGGGGGAGGAGGATGATGTGGAGGAGGGGGAGGAGGAGGAAGTGGAGGAAGAGGAGGAGGAAGAGGAAGAGGAGGAGAAGGAGGAGGAGGAGGCGTAGGAGGACGACAGTCGCGCGCTTCTTGGCGCTTTCTTCCTCCGCCTCCTCTTCCTCCGCCTCCATGATTCTCGCATCCTCGTCCTCCCTCCTTGATCCCTCCCCCTCCTCAATCGTCCTCCTCCTGCGTCCCTCCCCGGCCTCCCGCCACTTGGCCCCCCGGGGCCTCCCGGTGCGCCAGCGCCCCCCCCCCCGCGTGTGCGCCTGCCAGGCGGAGAGCGAGGCCGAGGAGGAGAGGCCCGCCCGCGCTCCCCCCCCTCGGCCGCGAGCGGGTTCGAGCGCCGTGCGTCGCTCGGCCCGTTGGGCGCTGATGCTTGCAGACGTTCGAAACGATGTGTGCGGCGCGATGGCGCGAGCCACATGTTGCAAGCGACCCGCCCTCCATCCTTGACGCTGCTATGCTTCCAAACGTTCGAAACGAATGTGTGCGGCGCGATGGCGCGAGCCACATGTTGCAAGCGACCCGCCCTCCATCCTTGACGCTGCTGCACACATTCGTGACGAATGTGCGTGGCGCTAAAGAGAGAGCCATTTCTGTGAAAAGGGCCCGCCCGGTATCCGTGCAACTGTTGCGAATTTTTAGCTTGAGGGTCAAAAGCGATGGGGAACATCCAAGGCGAAAAGCCTGGCCCGCCCTACTGACAGGTCTGCGGGTGCGACAGGGAGGAGCTAGTTACGATCAGAAAAGATGGAGGAGGAAAAGGAGGAGAAGGAGGAGGAGAGGAAGTGGAGAGGAGCAGAAGGAACAGGAGGAGGAGCAGGAGGAACAGGGAGGAAGAGGAAATGGAGGAGGAGGATGAGGAGCAGGAGGAGGAGGAGCAGGCGGACGTCGTCCGCCCTCCCCCGCGAGCCGCCTGCCCGACAGCGGGCGCTGTCGGCCGCCGCCGCGCTCGGTGCATGCCGTCCTGTGTGCTCTCCTGCGTGCGCCGCGCCCTCGTCCGGGAGGGGAGCGGGCAGGAGCGGCGTCGGCGCGCCTCTGAGAGCCCGCCCTCGCGGGGCTCCCG